TTTTTTTTTTTTTTTTTTTTTTTTTTTTTCTTTCTTTTTTTTTTTTTTTTTTTTTTTTTTTTTCTCTCTCTCTCTCTCTCTCTCTCTCTCTTTCTTTTTATTTTTTATATATATATATATATATATATATATATATATATATATATATATATATATATATATATATATATATATATATATATATATATATATATATATATATATATATATATATATATATATATTGTATAGTTATTATATAGTTATTGTATAATGTTGGTTTGTTCTGTAGACTATAGAAAAAAATATATAGCTTAAAAGGGTTAATAATTCTGACCTAAATATGGTTTAAAAAAATTAAAAACAGCTTTTATTCTTGCCAAAATAAAACAAACAAGACTTTCTCCAGAAGACATACTGTGAAAATGTCCTTGCTCTGTTAAACATTATTTATGTTTAACTGTATGTCAAACATACAGTTGAAGAGTTATTAGCCCCCCTTTTATTTATTTTTTTATTTTTTTATATTTCCCAAATTATGTTGAACAGAGAAAGAAAATTTTCACAGTATGTCTGATAATATTTTATATTCTGGAGAAAGCCTTAATTGTTTTATTTCAGCTAGAATAAAAGCAGTGTTTTTTTTTTTAAACACCATTTTTGGGACAATATTATTAACCCCTTTAAGCACATTTTTTTTCAATAGTCCACAGAACAAACCATTGTTATAAAATAACTTGCCTAATTACCCTAACCTTCCTAGTTACCCTAATTAACCTAGTGAAGCCTTAAATGTCACTTTAAGCTGTACAGAAGTGTCTTGAAAAAATATCTAGTCAAATATTATTTACTGTCATCATGGCAAAGATAAAATAAATCAGTTATTAGAGATGAGTTATTAAAACTTATGATTAGAAATGTGTTTCTAATCAAATCTGCTCCCCATTAAACAGAAATTAGGGAAAAATATACAGTAGGCTAATAATTCTGACTTCAACTATATATATATGACTGCAAAAATACAAATTTAACCTATATAAACCAATATAGTACATTCCTCATTTTATTCCAGCATTAGAAAAATGCATGATTGCAGTGAAGCTTTATCTGTAAACTACAGTAATGAGATCCTTCTCCAATAATACATCAGTTTTGCGGAGCGCTGACAGACATCTGTGAGCCCAAACAGCAGATTCACTGAGATGAGCCTGGGCTTGAGATGGCCAGCAGCATCACATGAGGCCCTTCAGTGATATTAGCGGCCCTCATGCTTCAGGAGCCCACGGGGGCCCTTAAACAGCCACACAAAAACACATTCATTCCCTGTTTCTGCTGTAGATCATGTGCAAATATTACTAAACACCAACATTAAATTCTCCGTTCAGAACGCAGCATCCCATAACGCAGTAAACTCACTTTGACCTTGCTTTTACTGCACTGTAAAAATGCAGGGTTCCACACAATTCATCCATGTTGTCCCAACACTAATTGATTAAGTTAACAACACTTTTACCAAATTTATGTGGATTAAACATAAAAAATGAGGTTGTCCCAATAAAATCTCCAGAATTGTGTTGTTTTAGCTCATTTTAAATAGGTAATTTAAACAAGCAAAAAAGTTTTTGAGTGTGTGTGACGTCTCTTTAGTTGATTGCAGCACTAATGATCATAGCATTAGATGACACAGCACTGAAAAGTGCGAACTGAAGAGAATCTGCAGCGCCGCACACCATCATGTTTCATAATTACGGCTGAATTTTGATTTATTTATTTCTTAAATGCTGTCCGGGACACTCAGGGAGTCACTAGGGAGTGGTAGGACTCACAGAAATAATTAAAAATAATTTACATTCATTCATTCACTTTCTTTTTGGCTTAGTCCCTTTATTAATATGCGGTCGCCACAGCGGAATGAACCGCCAAGTTATCCAGCATGTTTTTTTACACAGCGGATGCCCTTCCAGCTGCAACCCAACACTGGGAAATAACTTGAAATTAGTTGTAAAATTATAAAATTAAAAACAGCATGTCTGATAATATTTTTCCTTCTTATTTGTTTTATTTCGGCTAGAATAAAAGCAGTTTTTATTTTTTTTTAAACCATAGATCAAAATTATTAGCCCCTTTAAGCTTTATATATTTCGATAGTCTACAGAACAAACCATCGTTATACAATAACTTGCCTAATTCCCCTAACCTGCCTAGTTACCCTAATTAACCTAGTTAAATCTTTAAAAGTCACTGTATAGAAGTGTCAAATATTATTTACTGTCATAATGGTAGATAAAGATAAAATAAATCAGTTATTAGAGATGAGTTATTAAAACTATTATGATTAGAAATGTGTTGAAGAAATCTGCTCTCCGTTAAACAGAAATTGGGGGGTTAACGAAATAGATTGGAATGTACCAATTGAAATTTTTTGGAGAGGTCACTAAAATTAGCGAAGGCGTTATCTCAACCCAAGCTTATCTCGTCCCCGCGGACGTTTCTGGAGACCGCGATTTACGTGTCCGAAGGTACGTAAAGGCCGCGTTTGGTTTTTTTCGAGCGAACGCCGCGGGGCGGTGTGGCGCCGCTCCGCCCCTCCTCTTCGCGCTTGCCGGCCGACGGCTCGCCTCCGAGTGGAGGGATTTCCCGACGCAATCAGTTTGTCCGCCTAGCTCACAGCGTTGCGTCGGCGGAGCGGAGGCCCCGGATGAGGAGGACGAGCCGGAGCCGGCCGCGGTGGACGATGACCGGGATCGAGTCCGGGGAACGGCAGGTTCCGGAAATCAGGTAAGACGAAAAACGGAATCCGGAAAATAAGGGCGAGAACGTGGCGGGATCCGAAAACGCGGTCGAAATCGAAGACGAGGGTTTTTGCTTTTTTTTTTTTGTGCTTTTTTCGATCCGGCGGCTATTCGCGCGAGAATGGCGCGGGCGCGAACGCTGCGCGCTCCCGAGAAAAAAAGAAAGCGCGCACAGCGGCCTCTCGCGGATCTGCGAAAACAAAAAAACACTTGAATACGTAATCGCGGTCCGCAGAAACGCCCGCGGGGCTACGTTTCCACAATGAGCCCGGGTTGCGTTATCTATATAGAAGTCCCAACATTCGCTGCATTAAACATGTGCTGTATAAGTTGTCAGTTCATTCCGCTGTGGCGACCCCAAATTAATAAAAGGAATAAGCCGAAAAGAAAATGAATGAATGAATGAGGGTCTTTCGCACACTGATGTGACCTGTGAAGAGAGACAGTTTATGTCAGCAAGATGCAGTGGTGTTTGCTGACCTCTGACAACTTGACGAATGCCCTGTGTGAGTTGATTCAGGATCTTTACACTTGGCTTTCTGTGTTTTAAAAAAGGTGACGAAATATCTCCACAGGTTTGCCCAGTATATACATTAAACCTCCAGTGTAGGTGTTAGCTTGTGGTTTATTCTTGAAAACAGAGTCTTTCCAGAGTCTAGACGCCATCAGCGGTAATTATCTCTCACTATCCCTTAAACACTCAGCCAGATTGTATGAGCACACAGTCTCTCTTTCACACTCACAGTCAGGCCATTACCCAATTACACTTAAAGACATTACGGAGATGGGTGTGACGCTCATTTTTGCACACAATGCAACGACAGCATGACTGATAATCAAAATTAGTTTGTCATTGTTTAGCAATTTGTGTGTGTGTGTGTGTGTGTGTGTGTGTGTGTGTGTGTGTTTGGCTTATATTTTTGTGTGTTGTTGCCTCTGTGTCCATGAGATGTGGAGTGTTAGATGTAAAGCTTTAAATCTTCTTACTTGTAGAGCAAGGCAAAGCCCGGACATGCTCAAAGTTACACACACACACACACACACACATGGGCGATTACGCCAGACACTCTCATTCACATTAAAAGGATAGTTCACCCCTTCCAGAACAATTCAATAACTCATCATTTACTCATACTCAACCCACACAGGTACATTTCTGTAACCCAGCTCTGCCCCACACAAATCAGCTTTTGCTTGGCCCGCATGGCACGGTGTATTACCTTTCAGACATATCTGGCCCAGTTCAGGCCCAGTTATTGGATATTAACTTGGCCCAGATGTTGCCCATGTTTGGCCATTGTCTGGAAGCCATACTTGGGCTGTGTCCGAAATCACCTACTACTCAGTAGGTACTACATGTGAATTTAAATGTACTACTTAGCCATTATATGAGTGCGTTCTAAACCAGAGATGCCCAAAGGAGGGCCTGCGGGTCAAAGTTGGCCCATTAGGTGGCGCATTTCCACTGTTAGGCAAAACTTGTCATAAATCTGTCATAAACATGATCGTCATGTAGTCATTACAAACATGTCATAAATTTTAAAACCGCGTCAATAATATTTTGTTGACCTCATCTACTGTGCTCCAACCTGAGTTTTTTATTAAATGTCATTCAATATTAATGACAGGGCGATGCGGTGGCGCGGTAGGTAGTGCTGTCATCTCATAGCAAGAAGGTCGATTGTTCGAGCCTGGGCTGGGTCAGTTGGCATTCATGAGTGGAGTTTGCATGTTCTCTCCATGTTCGCGTGGGTTTCCTCTGGGTGCTCCGGTTTCCCCTACAGTCCAAAGACATGTGGTACAGATGAATCTGGTAGGCTAAATTGTCTGTAGTGTGTGTGTGTATGAGTGTGTGTGGATGTTTGCCAGAGATGGGTTGCAGCAGGAAGGACATCCACTGCGTAAAACATGTGCTGGATAAGTTGGCGGTTCATTCCGCTGTGGCGACCACGGATTAATAAAGAGACCAAGCCGAAAAGAAAATGAATGAATGAATAAATATTAAAGACACTATTAAAAATAATTTGACAGAGTAATGACACTTTTAATGAGGTGTTTTAATGATAAATAGAGTTTGTTCCACTGAAAACGTGATCAGGAAATGATTCATGACATAATTATAATGCCAATCGTGTTTATGACAGATTTATGACGAGTTTTGTAGTCTTGGTAATGTCAAGCTGACATGACAAAGATGAAAACTGTTTGTGATGTATTTGTTTCAGTGTTGGCAATTTAGCGACTTTGTCACTATATTTAGCGACTTTTCAGACCCCTCTAGTGACAAAATTTCAAAAAAGCGACTAGCAACAACTCTAGCGACTTTTTTTGCTGTTACTGGAGGTTTTTTTGATTCTATCTAACTGACCGTCCCGTCTGTCCGCAGCCCATGATGAAGCAGTCTCCGTGGGGCAGCCATCAGGGCAGCGGCTGGAACTCTGGAGGCATGTCCTGGGGCAGAGACCATCGGCGCGGGGGTGGCATGGGGGTGCCAGGCTCCATCAATCAGATCTCACCCATGAAGAAGCCCTTTTCCAGTAACGTCATCGCTCCGCCCAAGTTCCCGCGCTCCGCTGGCTCCCTGGGACCCAAATCCTGGATCGAGGAGAACATGTTTCGCACCGACAACAACAGCAACACACTGCTGCCCCTGCAGGTACCTGTGAGCGTTTCCTCATCGAAGATATTCACATCCCTCATGGAAGATCATGCTAAGCTGCTTTGATGCGATCTACATTCTGACTGTGTGTGTACGTGCGTGCCTGTAAGTTTGCCTGTGAATGTGTGTTTGTGTGTGTGTAAACCTTTGTGTGTATGTGTTAGTGTGTATGTATGAGTGTTTGTGTGCATGTGTGTGTGGGTTACATTTGCATTTGTGTGTGTTTATGAGATTATACGTGTGTTTGTGTGTGCGTGAATGTGTGTGTACGAGCAAGTGTGCATGCGTTTGTGTGTATGTGCATGCACGCATATGCATATGTGTGTGCTTGAGCACATGTGTAAGTGTGTGTGTGCTCACTGCTGCTCAGGAGGGTGTTTGTAGATGTTGTAGAGCACCTGAGGACAGCAGTGACTCACAGTGAGCTCATCAGGGTGGTTTTGGTGGTTTCGTCCTGGGCGATATTTTCTTGGCACACTTTGGGTCTATTAGTATCAATTGAGCATGGTGTCAATGCCACAGCCTACCTGAGTATTGCTGCTGACCATGTCCATCCCTTTATGAGCACAGTGTCTCCATCTTCTGATCGCTACTTCCAGCAGGATAACTCACCATGTCATAAAGCATGAATCATCTCAGACTGGTTTCTTGAACATGATAATAAGTTCACTGTACTCAAATGTCCTCCACATCCACCAGATCTCAATCCAATAGAGCAGCTTTGGGATGTGGTGGAACGGGAGATTGGCATCATGGATGTGCAGCCGACAAATCTGCAGCAACTGTGTGATGCTATCATGTCAATATGGAGCAAAATCTCTGAGGAATATTTGCAGTAGCTTGTTGAATCTCTGCCACGAAGGGTTAAGACAGTTCTGAAGGCAAAAGGAGGTCCAACCTGGTACCAGTAAGGTGTACCTAATAAAGTGGCCGGTGAGTGTATTATGACTAGTAAAGTTGAGTTTGCTGGTCACTACAAATTAATTTGCTCCATGCTGTGTAAGGTGACAGTTTTACCATGGATTATGAGAGCTGGTCAGTATAATATAAAACAGGGGTCACCAAACTTGTTTCTGGAGGGCCGGTGTCCTGCAGAGTTTAGCTCCAACCCTAATCAAACACACCTGATCAAGCTAATCAAGGTCTTACTAGGTATACTTAAAACACCCAGGCAGGTGTGTTGAGGCAAGTTGGAGCTAAACCCTGCAGGGCACCGGACCTCCAGGAACGAGATTGGTAACCCCTGATATAAAATTTTAAGGCACGAATAAGTTGCCGAATTTATTCCTAGACAAAAGTCCATTACTTGAGTTGTTATTACTACACAAACCGAGGAACAGCGGAGGACGACAGCACGGTTTGATGTTTGGTCGACCAATTCCCGCCCTCACACAGAACACATTTCAGATCATCAGGACTGGGCTTCACTAGTATCTGCTGCATTGTTCATTTCTAGAAACAGGGCGCCGTTTCGGGATTCTTTAGATTCCTGTCCTCATCTCCGCGCTCACATGATCACACACACATGTCATGTGCTGAAAACAGAAACACACAGAGACAGAGGGACGAGCAAAGAGCAGGAATACAACAGTAATGACACTATAAGCTGATAATCATTCATTTTCTTTTCAGCTTAGTCCCTTTACTTATCAGGGGTCACCACTGCGGAATGAACCGCCAACTTCTCCAGCATATGTCTTGCGCATGATCTTCCAGCCGCAACCCATCACTGGGAAACATCTATGCAACTCCTCCATTCACACACACTACGGCCAGTTTAGCCTATGCAATTGAGGAAACCCGGGGAGAACATGCAAACTCCACACAGCAATGCCAACTGACTCAGCCAAGGCTCGAACCAGCGATGATCAAGATCCCATAATGCAATTGAAAAGCAGAAAAAACTGGGGAAAAATAAAAAAAACAATCACAAAATACTGAAAATGTCAACCTGGCAGAAGCCGGTTCAGAGATGAGAGATGGAGGCTGCAGAGAGGGAAGGGGAGGTGATCTTCATGCAGGTTGGAGTGAATGGTTTTAAATGGATGCATGATAATGTGTGCGTTTGATCGGCCTCACGCTCTCGACTGGAGGACTGAGCTGCTTTTCAGGCTCTATTTCTGGCGGTGTTGCTGAATCTATATTTAGCAGCTCCGCTCTGTGTGTGTGTGTGTGTGTGTGTGTGTGTGAGAGCTGCGCTGTGGAGAGACTGAATGCTGAAAACAGCACAGGAATGATATAAGCTCTGTTTTTAAAAGCTGCCGTACCTGCGGGAGGCAGATGGATGTGACAGGTCAAAGCATCTGTGTGTGACACCATCAACACTCACTCCTCTGTGTGGTTGTGTCACCTGTCAACCCTGACGTTTTTCCCTGGATTCAGCTGTTTTTACTACTCTGTCCTGCTATTGCCCACAGTTTTAACCACAGTACTTTACTTTATTAGGGACCCAGCACCGGATCGATGTATATGCCCAATTGGATTTGCTTCAATGCTCCGAGAGGGGTCTGGATGCAGACCTGGTGCAGTGCAATCTGGACTGCATCCAATGCTTTTTAATGGGCTCACCTAACCCCACCCCTAACCCTACCCGTCACAGTGACGTCGCTCGCTCCATTTGAGTGCATTGCGTCTGACATTGCATCGCTGAGTGATGCAATCTCAGCTTGCATCATAAAGGCTGCATCCAGATAGTATTGCCATTTCCTCTTCTTCTTCTCCGGAGTAAATCATGATTTTGAGGGTCTAAACAGTCCTGAAAACTCATGAAACTTTGCACAAGCCCCAGAAGTGGCGAAAAATTTACGTTTGTTATAGGTTTTCGGCACTAGACGTGATAAAATGTCAAGTCTGAGCAGAAAAAGCATGTTAATTCATGATTAGCGCATGCATTAACTTATCATTAGTCCCTAATAATGTAATGTTTAATTTACATATTAACACAACATTATGCACATACTATTACCATGAATGCTTTCCCCTTGTATTCCATACCCAAAGTTTATTAAAACCCACAAGTGTGTATCAAAAGCAATGACTTTGGAAAGGTCAAATGTAGATGCATTGGTTTCCTGCATGTCTCGAGTGTTTTGTGTGTGTTTTCCATTAGAGTGAGAGTAAAGCTGGACTGAAAGTGGATGATGGGACAGCAGTAATCTGGTATTATCCGGCCACAGAGCAGCTGCTGCTGGTTAATGCATGTGTGCTTGATGGAGATTCACACTTCAGATGGCGGCATCATGATAGACATGATCTAAAAACGTTAGCGGCAATTTAAAACTGGCTTATACTCACCGGCCACTTCATTACTAGTACCGGTTTAGTAGACCCCCTTTTGCTTTCAGAACTGCCTTAGTCCTTCATGGCAGAGATTCAACAAGGTACTAGAAATATTCCTCAGAGAACCAGTCTGGCCATTCTCCTCTGACCTCTGGCATCAACAAGGCATTTGCGCCCACAGAACTGCCGCTCACTAAAATATTTTCTCTGTAAACCCTAGAGATGGTTGTGCGTGAAAATCCTAGCAGATCAGCAGCTTTCTGAAATACTCAGATCAGCCCGTCTGGCATCAACAACCATGCCATGTTCAAAGTCACCCAAATCCCCTTTCTTCCCCATTCTACTGCTCAGTTTGAACTGCAGCAGATCGTCTTGACCTTGTCTACATGCCAAAGTGCATTGAGTTGCTCCCTTGTGATTGGCTGATTAGAAATTTGCATTAACGAGCAGTTGGAGAGGTGTACCTAATAAAGTGGCCGCTGAGTGTAAATTTGGAGAGTACAATAAGTGAGGTCAAATGAGGTTCCCAGTACTTACTTCATGGCTACGTGTGTGTAAGTTTGCGCATGAGTGTTTGTGTGTGTGTTTGTGCATGTGAGTGGGTGTACGTTTGTACATTTGTGTATGTGTGTGTGTTGGTGGTGAATGTGGGGTGTGTTTCCCCTGATGAGCGCACACACAGATCTAGTAACGGATGTCTGTGTGTATGTCCACATTGCTCCTGGTAGTAATGCGGCAGATATGCGTGGCATGTTGTTGGGCAGGTGTTGTGATGGGCAGACGGGATGCCCCATTAAGCATCCGCGGGAGGGGCGAGGGATATTCTCGTAGCGCGGATGAACAACAAAAACAAACGTCACTCACACTCCTCACACAGTTTCATTCAGACTAAACCAGCCGTGCAGCAATGCTAGTTTGGCTGAACTTCCTGTCCAAAACTCACTAAACACAACAAACCTGCCGGGTTAATTCCACTCGGGACAGTTTCTCCAAACAACATTCCAGAGCCTTTGGATTGAGAGCCTGACCCAGAATTCAGCCTGACACAGTTTTCCAGGGATTCAGAGGCGACACAAACACACACTATTCCTGCTCCGAGCAGCTGGCCTGAAACATGCCTGTCTGGAGCTCCAATAGTAGAGCGCAACCAGCACTAACCAGCGGATGACTGCGACTTAGAATTGCGCTATTTACTGATGTTTTCTTGTTAAACTAAATATAAGTGAAGTTTATTTATAAACAAATTTCGAGTGGATCACGTGCTTATGATTGTTCACAGCTGTTCCAACTTTAGCTAACGACTGATTATCCTATCAGACGATCCTTAACTCACTATAAATAACCAGACTTTTCTCATCTCAATATCTTCATCTTGAAGAAACCCCCCCACCCAACCGCGGGCGTCACGGTGGCCAGCAATTAGCGCTGTTGCCTCACAGCAAGAATGCCCCTAGTTTAATTCCTTTCCAAACCAGACGGCATTTCTGTGCGGAGTTTGCTCGTTCTTCCCTGTGGTCCCTGTGGTCGGTTTCCTCCCACAGTTCAAAAACAAGCACTCTAAACAATTAATCCAAATACTTTAGCTAAACTCTGAGTACACTTTCCAGCATCCATATCTGACACTTAGCTACAACAAGCAAGAGGGGGAGTCATCGAGATCTACCTGAGCTCAAACTCCCCTCTCCCCTTGCAACGGGAGGGAGCCCAGGGCTCGAGGATCTTATAAGCTCAGGGCTCTCTCCCGGGACAGCACGCCAAACTGGCTTTATTATCAATCATCAGCTAAGTGTGATCTACATTATCAATGCTGTATAAGGACCTTATGAAACTGAAAATAGTCACATCAATCTTTCACTGAAAGTTTTCAGCGGCCGAACAACACTTCTGTGTATATAACCCATTCATAACAACACAATCTACATCATCTCTGGTGACTAAAATAGTTGTAAAGCATAACACTACCTGTCTAACAGGAATTCTTCAGTTATAGTGTCGTCCTTCCTCCAGCGTGCAAAACTCACTCCAATATTGCTTCAGGATTTTAAAGGTTTGATGCAGCATTTTATTTTACCACTGTGATAGTCTCGTGTGCACGTGAACGTGCGGTGCACATTAGGCATGGGCCAGTATAAGATTCTGATGGTATAATCACCTTGGATAGAAAAATCTTTGTTTTCCGATTTTGCAGTATTTTGATTACTGCTCTATTCAATTCAATTTTTCAATTCACCTTTATTTCTATAGCGCTTTTACAATGTAGATTGTGCCAAAGCAGCTTTACATAGAAGATTGTAGTAAATTAAAACAGTGTAGTTCAGTTTTCAGAGTTTAAGTTCAGTTCAGCTCAGTTCAGTGTGGTTTAGTAATCACTACTGAGAGTCCAAACACTGAAGAGCAAATCCATCGATGTGCAGCTCTACAGATCCCGAACCAGGCTCAGTTGGGCACGACATTACCATTTCTGCTATGGCTAAACGTCTTGTGCAGAGCTGCAGTCCAGACGCTGGAGAAGCTGGACGTCAGCGAGACTCGTCTTTCCCTAGAGCGTCACAGGAATCAGTCTCATGCTCTCTACTCATCCATGACCACCACAGCAGCTGCTCAGGATACGGCCTGGTCCAAGATTGTGGAAATTTTGGGATCATCTCATCGCTGGTCTTGGATCGAATCAGTGGCGCCGCATAGTCTGAGGGTCCCGGGATGAGTATCCCCAGGTGTAAATAGAGAATAAAGAGAATAATTAGCGTAGCTGCTGTTCATAGTGTGTATAAACCAGATGCAAAAACCTGCAAGGAGCACATTTATGTATCGTACCGCTAAGTGATGCACTGAGTGTATGCTTTGCTAAAAAGAGTTTAGATAAAGGTTTTTAATCTAGTTTTGAATTGAGAGTGTGTCTGAGCCTCAGACATTATCAGGAAGGCTATTCCAAAGTTTAGGAGCCATAAATGAGAAGGCTCGACCTCCTTTAGTTGACTTTGCTTTTCTAGGCACTACCTGAGTTTTGAGATCTTAAAGAGCGGGCTGGATTGTAGCGAGGCAGAAGGTTGGTTAGATAAACAGGAGCTTGATCATTTAAAGCGTTATAGGTAAGAAGCAATATTTTAAATTCAATTCAAAGCTTAACAGGCAGCCAGTGTAAGGAGGATAAAATTGGGGTGATATGATCATATTTTCTAGACCTGGTAAGAACTCTGGCAGCTGCATTTTGTACTATCTGAAGTTTGTTAATAGAGGATGCTGGGCAGCAAACAGAGCATTACAGTAATCCAGCCTAGAAGTCATAAAAGCATGGACTAGCTTTTATGCATCTGAGATGGATAGCATACTTCGCAACTTAGCAACATTTTTCAGATGAAAGAAAGCGGTTTTTAAGTTAAATTGCTGTCTAATATGACACCCAGGTCTTTAATAGTAGATCATATTTTCTAAAATGTATTCTTTTTCAAATGGGTAAAAAACAAAAAACTTTTTTCTCTTTTGACCGTGTATTTTATTTTGAGAAACACTTAAAATATTTTGAACAGTAAACATGCCAGGCTAAAAAGTCCTAAAAAAAACAAAAAACAAATAAAAAAAACGTAAATAAAAAACCATACACTGTATTTTATAACGGTATTTTAGAAATATTTGACGGTTTTAAAACCTTGACTTTCCCAACCGTGGTATAGACCATTTTGAGGGATGTAAACAAAACAATGGTCCTCACGTATTTCCTGTTATACATTTTAAATTTCTATAGCTACCGAGTATCCAAAAAGAGCAACATATTGATAAATAATGGTATGGCTGCTGTTTTAACATGAAGCTATGATTGAATTGCCTGTTGCTACAGTTTGATAACAAGCAGGAAATGTTCATGGGCCAATGATATGACCACATTGAAATGGTCTATACCTTGAAAATGGATATTGTCCCATGCCTAGCGCACATGCACACATCTACGTGAACAGAGGTGTGCAGATGTACAAATCTACATATGTTGACAGAGGTTGGGCTACTTATCAGAATTATGGGAAATGTCGGCCTGACAATATTAATATAATAGATGAATATAAATAGATGAAAATTGTTCAGTCTTTACACCTTACACAGAATATAAAACTACAGATAAACACATTTAGATCATTTACTTTAAGGTCGCAAGTTCTGTCATTAAAAAAAAAAAAGTGTACCCAATGCACAGAAGAGTTTGCTTTCTTCACGGTAATCCCATAATTCCCACGCAAACGACCTGCTTCATGCTGACGTGTTGCTCTCTGCTTTTCAGGATCGCTCCAGGATGTACGACAGCTTGAACATGCACTCACTGGAAAGCTCCCTGATTGACATCATGAGAGCAGAGCAGGACCCGCTGAAGGGTGAGGTCACCTCTTGTACAATAAGTGGATATGCTGTATATCTACACAGTTGAAGTCAGAATTATTCACACTGCTGTGAATGTTTTTCCTTTTCCAAATGATTTTTAACAGATTCAGTAATTTTTCAGTGTTTCCTATAATATTTATTTCTTCTGGAGAAAGTTTTATTTGTTATATCTCTGCAGTCACTATAATAGACGACGCTCACATTTGCATTGCGAGCCCTGAACGCACAGAAAATACATGTGAAGTCATCAAAACATTAAACTTGCCTCTTGTATATTCTACACATGAACGAGAAAAGAGCAGCGAGAAGAACTCATGAAGAGATTCTCGTTTTAATTGATGGATACAATTGACCCTTCGCTAAGCCACACCCAAAAACCGCCACCCACCAATCGTGGCTTAGCTACCGTAGCTACGCGCAGGGGCTCTGTCAAGCTTGCGAGCGTGGGGAAAAAACCTAAGCGTTGTGCATATGGATTGTGTACAGTGGCGTAGCGCAAAATGCGGAGCCCCCCCTGCAGGGATCACTGACGGGGCCCTCTGATGAAGGAAGACAACACGGGGAAGCGATCACAAATTGAGGAGCGGGGAAGGGAGGCGGGGTGGAGCGACAACGTGGGGAAGCCTTCACAAACTGAGGAGCAATCACAAACCGAAAGCGGCGAGAGCGTCAAAGTAGCCAGAAGTCATTCATTTTCAATGAGAACCTTGGGCGAGAAACAGCGCGGCGCGTCTTCTCCGGTGTGAGCGTCGAGGAGAGTTGAAATCCAATTAACTTTATAGTATGAGCTATGTCGCGGTTCGGCGGGAAGCAGTCAGAATGAAGTAGTCCACCGCTTGAGAGGTGTTCAGAGAACACAGATCTGTGAACTTTGGTTCCGACCACAGTTGTTTCCAAGAGTTTGATTATTGCGGTTGCCGGATTTACAATTATTGAAAATCGTGACGATGCGGGGCCCCCTAATCACGCGGGGCCCCCCCCGCAGTGCGTGCCCTGCGAGCCCGTCCGCTATGCCACTGATTGTGTAAATCTGATACCCGGTATCCTTAAAGTTTTGACGGGGTGGTGGAATGTTTCCCCTTTTCAAAACTTAAAACCCATGAGGAGGAACGCCAACGTATATCAAGCTCTGTGAGGGGTGCTAAAGGAGCGGAGTTAAGTTGGTTTTGTTTTAATATTCCTGACAAATTCAGTAATAGACTGCAATAACTCACACACCTCTTATCCTAAACAGATCTAAACTGTGTTCCCTACAAATATACAAAGCAGGTTCTGTTTCCCATTGGTCTTTTTCTTCTTTTCCGCTCGATAATATGAGCACTGCTTTGTTTAAGCCCTCGCCATAGTAGTCATACTAATAGCAGTCATATCTCCATCTGTTTCAAGCTATGAATATTTGAAACTACAAATCAACAGAGCAAAACCGAGATGTGATCACAATCTGTGATCAATATACTTCACCCGCAGCTGTTTTTCAGTCATTTATATCGCTCATGGCCATGTCAGAGCTACAATTCACTGATGTTTTCGGTGGTCTTTTGAAGATTTAGTCATTGCTGACGATGTTATACCGGGTTAGTGTCTGCTTTTATATGTGGTGTCTGATTAATATTTGCTGGTAGGGAAAATCTATTTGTTTGCTTCTGCTATTTATACTTTGATTTGCATTTCAGTGTGTTTATTTCTTTCACTTAACTGCGAACTAGAATAGAAACTGTCTGGGGCGCCCCCATGGCCACCCCTGGGTAAACTTCGGCCACTCTTGTGGCCACCCCAATATGCTTTTGCTGTTATTAATTTAAATGTACTTATGTAAATTCCCCGGCGAGGCAGTGGCGCAGTAGGTAGTGCTTTTGCCTCACAGCAAGAAGGTCGCTGGGTCGCTGGTTTGAGCCTCGGCTCAGTTGGTGTTTCTGTGTGGAG